ACACAAACAAATTCTCCTTGTCAGAACCTTAGGAAATGTTTAGAGAACAGTATGGAGAAAACAGTATGGAGAATATGCATTCTGATGTTAGGGTGTAACATGTAACTTCTTAATGTGATTCCGCTGTTATCTAACAAAATGTTTACGAGATCAGACAAGTGTATCGGCTGGAGGGTGTTAGTTTGATGAAAAAGCCAAATTTTCCGGTCTGAGTTGTTAGGAAATGTAGAAAGTCGATAGGGAGAATTATTAGTTGGATCTTGGAAGATTAAAGCGAAAACCTACTCTTTAGTTTCCAGCGCTTGGTACTCGCGGCTTACATTACCTGACTCGCGCGAAGATCACTTTTGCGCTGAAAATCATATTTACAAATTGTACTCTTCGTTTGTTGTATTTGGTCAGCGGTTAGCAGCGAAGACTCGTCGGAGGAGGGCTGGGACACAGAAGACATCGTGATACTAGATGGGGATATTCTTACTACAGAAACAAGCAACGCTAAGATTCTTATGGATGAAGCGAAAGCTGGAAAAGTGGAAGAGTTGCAACCTCCATGCAAGGTCTGTTTATCTGAGTGATACGCAAGAGAGATATACCCTCCTTAAAAATGGCTGGAAAACAAAAACCAAAGAAAAAAGATTTGTGACTTTTTAAGCGAAATTCGCCAATTGGGTGTCCTGTGTTGGGCGGTGTAGTATCGTGAGGTGTTACGTTTCAGTCACTTTGTGTCAAAGGTCTTGACCTGAAGTGAGATAAACAATTCACGAACAATTATTGATGTTCTGTCCCTTTTCTGTCATAATAATTTTCTTCTTTCTTTTTGTTTATCTGAGTACTTTACCTTGAGACGTTGCATGATTCCCCAAAAATGATTACAACCCGCACTGCTTACCTCAAAGACAATCCGTGAGGTTAGCCTCACTGTGCCTGACCTATTTTCTCAAAGTCTCCTTTTCAATTTATACGTCCTGTTTGACGACTTCAATCTTATTTCGGGCGACCTTTTTATGACTGCAGGTCCCCAAATGGCGATTTTGAAAGAAAGTATAGTTTGGAGCCATTCACAGGAAATTTTTTTCGAACCAGAAGTCGACTTCTTTATTTGATAGTCTCACCAAATTTCATTTAGCCAAGTGTCTATCTGCCAAGGAGTAAATGCCGATTGAGACCCCAAGTCTAATTCCAAGTTTCTTCGTCTCCGTTCTTTCTCACAGTGGCGAGAGGAGGGGCACCTCAGCTTGCGTATGCGTATTCCGGGTAACATGTGGGTGGAGGTATGGCAGAGTGCTCGTCCGGTTCCAGTCCGCAGGCAGAAGCGACTTTTTGATGAAACAAAGGAAGCTGAGAAGGTAAAAGGACAGTACAGTAAGTTTAAGGTGGCTCGTACCGGTTTTCATCTTTTTGATGGTTTGTAACTTTGAAAGAATACAACAGAAAGACTGACCAAGGCTAGTTGAACACTTTTACGAGGTTGAATTATATAATCATTGGTTATCCAAAAATAGGTGTCATTTCGTCACTAGCAGTTTCCATGGCAACGCTTTCATAGGCTTATTCAGACGCATTTTTTAGCTTGTGGCTTAAATAATTCGAAAACTAGCCCGGTGACCCCATGATGTTTTTCAGTGATTGCTTTTGGCACTTGTAAAGGAAAATGCACAAAGATTTTTAAAGCGGAATTTCAGAAAATCTAGAAAAAAGGCAATTTTCAGACATCGCAAATTTCCTTCCGTAGAATTTTCTAGTTTTTTTTCTGATGATTCCTTTCGACGTTATTATCATATTGGAACAATAAAAAGAAGGGGTCACCGGACTTGTTTTCATGCAATAGCTTTCGTGAGTTTAGCAATTTCCACGCGCGTTCTCGCGCATTTAAAAATCTGGATTCTATAAGATCGACATTTGCTCATGATCTGTTTTAGCTACCGCTGACAATTGCGTGTGCTCGCGCGAGCACCTACGATCTGATGTTTACAGACGTTTACTGCTAAGAAAATCATTAAACAGCCGTCAAAGACAGCCTCCCGAGCTCATCTTAAAAATCCTACACATGACTTCTGGCTATATCATATTATTTTCCTTGAAGTTTCAAAGTCTTCTTCCACTTCAGGTAGATTATCCTTCACTTGAGTTCTTCTTTTTTCGCCGTCGCAAGATTTCATATCGGTTGAATATTTCTTTTAAATGTGAAGTGAAGCAACCTTTACTTCTCCGAAAATCGTCTTCGTTATCTTAGTTTCTATCTCCTGCATTCACAGTGGCCGCTCAACACATCAAATACAAGCTCTTAGGTAAACTTCTCACAAAAGTAGAAAAAATTCCACGCGCCGCCATCTTTGTTTTGAATTTTCATCTTTTGATCTCGCGCTTCTTTCGCACGTTTCTCTCGCGCGCGTCACGCAAGAGTGACCTGTTCCCCGCGCGAGGAAACTGGTACGAGCCACCTTAA